AAAAAAAAAAAAAAAAAAAAAAAAAGAAAAAGGAAAAAATCTAAATATGGGGCAGGTACATCTGATAACATTCAACTCGCAAATTGAGATGTGCCATCAGTGGAAAGTACAAACTGGATTTCTGGAACTCATTACAAAAAAAAAAAAATCATTTAAAAGATCTCATGTGGAGTCCTAATAAGTAACCAACAGCAAAGAAGGGGCCCCTGGCTGGGGGAGAACAATTGTTCTGAGAGATGGCTAACTGCCAACAACACACTGGTATGACATCCTGTTCCAAAAGACCTCGGTCTGCACATAGTCCCGACCTTATCTGCACACCTTACGTGCACGTGGCCACCTCCAGCACGACCCTGTAAAATTCCCTCCAACCTCTTCCTGTTTGCAAACAGCCCCTTCTCTTCTGTGCTGCCTGTTGCATCCTCGCAACCTACCGTCATACCTTCTCTAATAAATCTTTCTTTACCTATGGCTGTCTTGGGAAATTATTTTACCGCCCACAACGCCAGCCCCAGCCAGTCACAACGACAACGTCTCAATAATTTCTTTACATTGATTGCATGCACAAATGAGAATTATGTTGGCTACCATGGGTTAAAAGAGACTTTTAGAATTCATTGTGTGTGGCATGCCATCTATGGCTGAGGTGCTATATTGGTGCTTACCCAGGAGTTATCACCAGACAGCCTGTGTTCTGTGCATGCTTGGCTGTTTGCACAGTTGCATAGCCTTCAGAACATTTAGTATCTCTTGTTATTGGCTGTCTTTTAAATTATCCCAATGGGTGTGAAGTGATATTTTATGGAAGTTTTGATATTAACTTCCCTAATGATTAAAGAGGCTGAGCATCTTTTCATGTACATATTTGCCATTTGTATATCTTCTTTGTAGAAATGACTATTCAAGGGGGCCGGGCGCGGTGGCTCAAGCCTGTAATCCCAGCACTTTGGGAGGCCGAGACAGGCGGATCATGAGGTCAGGAGAATGAGACCATCCTGGCTAACATGGTGAAACCCCGTCTCTACTAAAAAATACAAAAAACTAGCCGGGCGAGGTGGTGGGCGCCTGTAGTCCCAGCTACTCGGGAGGCTGAAGCAGGAGAATGGCGTGAACCCGGAAGGCAGGGCTTTCGGTGGCCGGATCCCGGCCCACTGCACCCTCCCTGGGGGACAAGAGCGAGACTCCGTCTCAAAAAAAAAAAATGACTATTCAAACTCTTTGTTCATTTTTCAGGCTGGGTGCAGGGGCTCACACCTGTAATCCCAGCACTTTGGGAGACCAAAGAGGGCAGATCAGTTGAGGTCAGGAGTTCAAGACCAGCCTGGCCAACATGGCAAAACCCTGTCTCTGCTAAAAATACAAAACTTTTAGCCAGGCGTGGTGGCGACTGCCTGTGGTCCCAGCTACTTGGAAGGCTGAGACGGGAGAATCGCTTGAATCCAGGAGGCAGAGGTTGCAGTGAGCCAAAACGGTGCCACTGCACTCTAGCCTGGGTGACAGAGGGAGACTCCATCTCAACAAAAAAAACCTCTTTGTCCACTTTTAATTGGGTATCTTTATACTGCTGAGTTGCAAGTCTTTGTATATTTTGAATACAAGTCACATATCAGATAAATCATTTGTAAATGTTTTCACCCAGTCCATGGTTGTCTTTTTTCTTGATGGTGTCCTTTGAAGCATCAACGTTTTTTAATGTTAAGTCCAATTTATCTATTTTTTCTTTTGTCACCTGTTTTTGATGTCATACCTAAGAAACAATTGCCTAAACCAAGATCATAAAGTTTGACTCCTATGTTTTCTTCCAAAAAGTTTATAGTTTTAGCTGCTACCTGTAGCTCTATGATCTATTTTGAGCTCATTTTTGTACACGGTATGAAATAGAGGTCCAGTGTCTTTTTTTTTTTCTTTTAGACAGTCTCGCTCTGTTCCTAGGCTGGAGTGCAGTGGCACAATCTCGGCTCACTGCAACCTCCACCTTCTGGGTTCAAGCAATTCTCCCACCTCAGCCTCCCGAGCAGCTGGGACTACAGGTGCCCGGCACCACACCCAGTTAATTTTTGTATTTTTAGTAGAGACAGGGTTTTACCACGTTGGCCAGGATGGTCTCGATCTCTTGACCTCATGAACTGCCCGCCTCGGCCTCCCGAAGTGCTGGGGTTACAGGCGTGAGCCACCGCGCCCAGGCCAATTTCACTCTTTTGCATATTGGCACCTAGTTGTCCCAGCGCATTTGTTGAAGAGAACATTCTTTCCACAGTGAACTTTCCTAGTATATTGAATTTTGAACTTGTTCATTTTTGCTTAAACTTCCTTCAGCCATCTGAGAATGATTAGGGATATTTTTGGGAAGTAGTGATCTAACTTTTTTCTGAAAGGATGGGCGTGTGAAACAATATCATTCATTGAAATTATTTCTTCCTGGCTGATTTTAAATGTTACCACTCTCTTATATAAAATTTCTGTAAATAGTCCATGTCAATTTCTGGATATTCTCCGCTTTTTCAGAATAAACCTTTATTCTAGAATTAAAAAAAAAAAAATACTTTGCTACATTTTATTCTGATTTTATATTCTATTTCTTTCTTACTAGACCCCTGGGTTTTAGTTTCTTTCTCACATCCCATGTTAAATTAAAAGCATAAATCATTTGAATACATCACTTTGGGATTACTAGCATATCAAGCTACAGATCTCCTCTCAGAGACACTTATGTGTCATGTACAAATTTTTCCCTTATTCTAACACAAAGACGGAACAAGAGACACTGAAGCCTATCTGAGGGTGGAGGGTGGGAGGAGGGCAAGGATCGAAAAACTACCTATCAGGTACTACGCTTATTACCTGGGTGATTAAATAATCTGTATACCACACCTCCATGACAGGCAGTATACCTATATAACAAACCTGTACATGTACCCCGACCCTAAATTTTTTTTTTTATAAAAAGTCTCCCAAAAGAAATGTGAAAAAAAAATTGCCTTATTCTAAATAGTCTTTAGTGGAAGTGAATGTTCCTCTTTGATGCAAGAGTAATTTGTAAAAGATCTTACTTTTATGTGTAAATGGTTTGATGTCTTTAAATTATGTCAGGTATTCCTAGGTGTATTTTCAAATAATATTATTTGATTTTTTGTTGTTTCTTCTTTGGTTTAGTTTAAGGAGGACTCCAATGTGGCCAAATACAGGACATCTACTATGGTGTGGCTGTGTCCCCACCCAAATCTCATCTTGAATTGTAGCTCCCACAATTACCACATGTCATGGGAGGGACCCAGCGGGAGGTAACTGAATCATGGGGACAGGTCTTTCCCATGCTGCTCCCGTGATAGCGAATAAGTCTCACGAGATATGATGGTTTTATAAAGGGGAGTTTCCCTGTATAGGCTTTCTCTTGTCCGCCGCCATGTAAGACCGTGCCTTTCGCCTTCCACCATGATTGTGAGGCCTCCCTAGTCACATGGAACTGTGAGGTCCCCAGACACACGTGTTAGCCACATGGTGCAACACCATCTCTACTAGAAATACCAAAAAAATAAAAAATAAATTAGCCAGCATGGAGGTACGTGCCTGTAATCCCAGCTATTCCGGAGGCTGAGGCATGAGAATTGTTTGAACCTAGGAGGCACATGCTGCAGTGAGCCGAAATGGTGCCACTGCACTCCAACCTGGGCAACAGAGTGAGACTCTGTCGCAAAACTAAACAATTAAAAGAAAGAAAAAACGCCATGGAAAACATTATTGTGACAATTGGCAATTCTGAATATGGATTATGTTACTAGATAACAGTCCCATGCAGTGTTCAATTCCCTGATTTTGCTAATTACTGTAGTTCTGAAAGAAAAGGTCCTTGTTATTAAGAAATACACCCTGATTTGGTGGTAAATGGGCACAATGTCACTTACTCTCAAATGGTTAAAAAAAAATTGTAATGTATGTAAAGAGAGACAGAGTTCATGATAAAGCAAACAGGGTAAAATGTTAACTTTTGGTGACACAGGCACAAAATACACAGATATAAAGGAGTTCTTTGTACCATTCTTGCAGCTTTTCTGTAAATTTGGAATCTTATCAAAATAATTTTAAAACAAAACAGAAAAACAAAAAAGAGCTATGTACCATGTCTAAAAACAACCCCAGTAAGAATGCCTAACATTTCACTAGAATTAAAATTATCATGGCTTAAGGAAAGAACTACGTCAACAAAAAGCTATACCACTTTCAAAGATGGAAAGAATTAAAAGTTAATTCTCCCCCAATTTAATCTAAATTGAAAAATTCACACAGTTCCAATCAGCAGCTGCTTATCTTCCTGGACATCCATTCACGGCACACTTAACTTTCTGAAAAACACCAGATCATAGCCAGATCTCTGTGAAAATGAGCAATCACTTACATCTGCAGCTGTTGAAGCTTCCCAGCCAGGACCACCACAGCCCCACAGCCCCACTTCCATCATCAGGGTAAACCCTGTGTACTGAAAGAGGAAAAGGATGTCGTTGGTGGCCTGTCTGCAAGGGCATGGCAAACTGGGGCAGCAGAAAGTCTTCACTGTCTAGTGGAAAGTAAAATTGAAGCTTTGAGCTTCTCAGGAATGAGAGGAGGTGGCCAAGGGAAAGATCACTCAAAACCATTCCCCTCATTTGTTTCCATTTGCACTTACCAGTATCTTTTTTTTGGTTTTGGTTTTTATTTTTATTTTTTTTTTTTTGAGGTGGAGTCTTGCTCTTGTCACCCAGGCTGGAGTGCAGTGGCTGCAATCTCGGCTCACTGCAACCTCCACCTCCAGAGTTCAAGTGATTCTCCTGCCTCAGCCACCCAAGTAGCTGGGATTACAAGGAATCCGCCACCATGCCCGGCTAATTTTGTATTTTTAGTAGAGACGGGGTTTCACCATGTTGGCCAAGCTGGTCTCGAACTCCTGACCTCGGGTGATCCGCCCACCTCGGTCTCCCAAAGTGTTGAGATTACAAGCGTGAGCCACCACGCCCAACCAGCACTTACCAGTATCTAACACACCAACATACCATGTATTCTATCACATTCACTGTTCACTCCTCCTGCCCACCCCACAACTAAAATGCACGTTCTCCAAGGGCAAGTACGTTTACCTATTTTGTTCAGTCCATATCCATGGTGTATAAAACAGTGACTTGTGTGTGTGGGGGGGGAGTAATAGCATTTATTCCATGAATATGACTACAGCATACACACATACACACACATACATGTCCACACTATATCTGGAAAGATAAAGGAGAAAATTATGTTTGCCTCTGAGCAAAAGAACTGGAAGACAGTGGTGGGAGAATATTTGACTGACTTTGTACCACTCTTAAATTTTCCTATATGTGTATCTATGACTCAGTCCTCTCCTGCTCCCCAAAACTCTTAGTGTTAAACCACTATGTTCTGCCTTGGGAAAGCAAGTTATAGACAAATGTGCATTTATAATCTGACTCTATCGGGTTGTATGCACATGGCGAAGTAACTGTCAACAATCTAGGGATACAAGGAAAGCCCTGCGCCTGAATCCGATCTCCCACAATCCCGGCTCCTGGGCCTATCCCAATCCACCCACATCAGACACCGTTTTATTCATACCCAGATCCCTGCCCCTGGAACTGGTCTCCACCCACTGCCCCATCCCTAGGCCTGGTGCAGCCCACAGTCCCGCCCCCAGAACTGGTCTCCGCCCACAGCCAGCCCCGCCCCCAGGCTTGGTGCCACCCATAGCTCCGCCTCCAGAACTGATCTCTGCCAATCAACACTGCCCTCCGGGGGCCGGTACACCCACAGCCTAGTCCCCGCCCTCCGCCCTGCCCGGAACTGATCTCCGCCCACAGCCAGCCCCTTTTTCCAGGGCTGGCACCACCACCGCCTGGTTCCCGCTCAGCCCCGCCCAGGAAATGGAGGTCTCCGCCCCTGTAACTGGTCTCTGCTCAGTCACCCCAGCTCTGCAAGCCTTGTACCATCCGCCCCGAGAACTGGGCCCCACCCAGAGCCCCGCCCCTGGAACTGGTGTCCGCTCAATCAGCCTCGCCCTCCAGGCCTGGTACTGCCGCAGCCGGTTCCCCGCCTTCAGCCCCGCCCCGGAACTAATCTCCGCCCATAAACAGCCTGGCTCCGCCCCCAGGACCAACCCTGCCCCCGCTACTGCCTTAGGCCAGGGCCCAACTTTGTGCCCACTAAGCAAACTAGAACACCTCTGCCCGAGGCTGGGGTGCGCGGCCGCCGCTCCCGCCCGCCGCGCCTGCCGCCTAAGCGCCGAACCCCCAACACGCTCAACTCTGCGAGGCTGCCCGTGTGAGCCGGAAGCGGACATGTAGCGCGGCTCTCCCCAGACCGGAAGCGGAAGCGCAGGGCGGTGCCGTGGGAGGGGCTGCGCGTGGGGCACCGGAGAGCGAGTCCCTCCATCCCCGCGAGTCGGCGCTTTTGGCCCCCGCGGGAGGGGCCGGGCTTGGTGAGCGACTGGCGGGGCCTCGGGTCCGAGTCCAGGGGGCGACGTGGGCCGCGGACACCGCCAGCCGTGGGCCCTGCGTCCCTCCCGGTAGCCGTGTTTCTGTCCATGAGGCCTCCGGCTGTGTGCAAGCAGGTCAGCGCGAAGCTGCTGCTTGCCCCTGGATCGGGGTCCGCGCCGTTGTCGCCTCCTCAGAGAGCCCCAGTCGCCCTCACCCAGGGCGATTCTGCGCCCCAGGGGACTTTTGGCTGTAGCTGGAGACGGCTGTGGTTGTCACAAATTGTGGGGAGGAGGGGGTGCTACTGTCACCTAGAGGGTGGAGGCCGGGGAAGAGGGACTCTGCTCACTCTTAAAGATTCTACGTTGTACAGGACAGTCCCCCACAACAAGGAATTATCAGTAGTGCCAGGTTTGGAAACCCTGCTCTAGGGCCTTAAAAAAAAATACCTACAGTTCTGAATAAACTGTATACATTGTTAAAAATTCAGCTTAGTCACTTACTAGGGCCTCTAAGTGACAAGATATTTTTAAAGCCTCTGGAGTCACCATAGAAGCTCTCTCCAGTCTAATAAGTTGAGCAAGTCAAATGCACACAGCGTTAAGCTGCTTTCTCCCCTCTTAAGGAGCAGATGGCCGGATAGGAATCAGGTAAATCCAGTCCCGGCCCACAGGCTGGGCCCTTATTACACATTTAATCATTGAGTACCCAAAAAAGTGAATGGGATGGTGTTTCCAACAGCTGTGTCCAACAACTGTACAACCTATACAAATCCTGGAAAGAAATCTTTGTGCCTTTTTTTTTTTTCAGATGAGAAAAACATCATTCAAGCTCAGATTCGTGTTGAAGCCTGCCGCAAGGTCCACCTGTCATTGTGGATTTGTGTGTGACCGGGTGAGTACAGTGTGGAACCTACTACAAGGTTCCAGCAGGCTCTGCTGTGTAGAGGAACTGCTCACGGGCTTTCCTGTGCTGGGGTTATAACCACATGGAAGTCACGAAGAGTGAAGGTATGTTAAGGAAAGTTCAAGGTAAAAAGACAGAGGTATTTTTGGTTATATGTGTATAAATAGTAAATACAGTTACATGCAAATAAGTATCTACAAAACAGACATACAAATAATGTAAAGATGTGTAACTGTAGCTAAATGCAGATTTTCTGGTATGCTATAATGCTAAAAGTTTTTGGATTTTATATAAGTATAAATGTAGAAAATTTTACATGTATATGTAGTGTTACAAGTGTTCCCACTAACAACTAGCAGGACTACTCAGCAACATTCTTCAGGCCTGTTTGATTTGACTTTTTTTTTTTTTTCTTGAGACCAAGTCTCACTCTGTTGCCCAGGCTGGAGTGCAGTGGAGCAATCTTGTCTCACTTCAACCTCCACCTTCCAGATTCAAGCAATTCTCCTGCCTCAGTTTCCTGCGTAGCTGGGACTACAGGCAACTACCACCACGCCCAGCTAATTTTGTTTGTATTTTTAGTAGAGACGGATTTTTGCCATGTTTGGCCAGGCTGATCTCGAACTCCTGACCTCAAGTGATCCGCCTGCCCCAACCTCCCAAAGTGCTGGGATTACAGGCGTGAGCCACCGTGCCCGGCTGTCGATTTTATTTCTAAAGGCATATCAGCCTCCACCAAACTTCAAAAGATGAGGACATTTATAAAAAGGATGATTTGAGCTTTCTTACATTAGTAACAAAATTAAAATTAAATTGACTGGCAACCAGATGTGTTTTGAGCAGTGGGATTTTTTTTTTCCCATTTGGAAGAATATTAAGCAACAACTTATAAATTGAAGGGTAGGGCACTGGTTTCCAAAAAGATTGTCCTCTGCACCTTGCCTCCTGTATTAGTCTGTTTTCACACTGCTATAAAGAACTACCTGAGAGTTTTCACACTACTTTAAATAACTTCCTGAGACTGGGTGATGTATAAAGGAAAGAAGTTTAATTGACTCACAGTTCTGCGTGGCGGGGGAGGCATCAGGAAACTTAAAATCATGGTGGAAAGCAAAGGGAAAGCAAGGCACGTCTTACATGGCTGCAGGAGAGAGAGAGAAGAGGTAAGCGTCAGACTTTTAAACCATCAAATCTCATGAGAACTTACTGTCAGAACAGCAAGAGGGAAGTCCAACCCCATGATTCAGTCACCTCCTTCCTGGCCCCTCCTCTGACATGTGGGGATTATTACAACTGGAGATGAGACCTGGGTGGGAGAGACACAGAACCAAACCATATCACCTCCTAATAGGAATTAACTTTGTTTCTTAAAACTTCCGTGAAATAACAGTGTGGTGATTCATATTGCAGAGAATCACGTTAAGTAATCCTGTATTAAATGGTGGGGATTTTACTGATCATGTGTGTGTATGTGCACCTTTTCCATTCTAGCTTTCCTGCAACACTCTTGAGGGAATGTTTACTTATCATGCAATAGATATTATTTGAGTACACAGTTTATGGTGACCAACCATCCTCATTTATTCAATACCAAGGGATCTGCTAGGGCACAGGACATCCAGTGTTCAAACCGGAACAATCCTTGGCAAACCAGGTCACCTCCATGAGTCAGGTCCTGGGTCAGATGCACGGGGACCCTAGAGAATCTGAAATGGCCCCTGTCCTACCTCCGTAAAGTTTACCTTCTAACAGGGAAGATGAATGTTACACAGTGAATGACAGGAGTGGTGTGGCAGCTTGGCACAAGTGAACTTGATCAGAGGGAACAGGGAAGCTTTCTTGGGAAGGATATTTAGCTTGAGAGCTTAAGTTGTTATAGAACCGAACTGGGGTCTGCTCACCTGGTGGTACGGTGAAACCAGATGTCTATATTGAGGGTTGCTACATCAGATAGAAAAGCTTTTATTGCAGAACGCTAAGCACGGAGGACCAGACCGTTAATTGTTCAAATCCTGGCCTTCCCAGTGGCTGTTAGGCAAGGATTTTTTTTATTTATTTATTTTTTTTGAGATGGAGTCTCGCTCTGTCACCCAGGTTGGAGTGCAGTGTCGCAATCTCAGCTCACTGCAATCCCCGCCTCCCAGATTCAACCAGTTCTCCTGCCTCAGCTTCCTGAGTAGCTGGGATTACAAGCGCCCACCACCACACCTGGCTAATTTTTGTATTTTTAGTAGAGACAGGGTTTCACCATGTTGGCCCAGCTGGTCTTGATCTCCTGACCTCATGATCCACCACCCTCAGCCTCCCAGAGTGCTGAGATGGTACAGGCATGAGCCACTATGCCCGGCCTTTTTTTTTTTTTTTTTTTTTTTAAAAATCAGACAGAATCTCACTTGGTCGCCCAGGCTGGAGTGCAATGGTGCGATCTCAGCTCACTACAACCTCCGCCTCCCAGGTTCAAGTGATTTTTCTGCCTTAGCCTCCCAAGTCCCTGGGATTACAGGCACCCACCACCACACCCGGCAAATGTTTTGTATTTTTAGTAGAGGCAGAGTTTCACCATGTTAGCCAGGTTGGCCTCAAACTCCTGACCTCAGGTGATACGCCCGTCTAGGCAAGGATTTCTCAAGGCAACAGTAAATTATAGAAAAGCAGAAGCTACAGGCAAAATCATAAAGCAATACATAGAGGTTAGATGCTGGTTTAGACCTAAAAGGGCAAGGATGTCTTGAAGCAGGAGCGTATGGTAGATTCAGAGATTTTCTGATTTGTAATTGGTTAAGGAAAAGAAGCTTTGTTTAAAACTTTAGAGTCAGTAGGAAAATGTGAACGGGCTGAGGGAAGTTACTTTCTCCAAGCCCCTCAGCAAGAAACTTAGCCCAAAGGACGCTGAAGCTCAGCCTTCACTCCCCCCTCATCTGGGGTCTCTGAGCCAGCAGCTCCATTTGGTGGGGGTCCTCAGTGGGAGTCCCAGCCTCTGAAAGGCAACTCAGGGACGCCATGTTAAGGCATTGTCTTTAGTTTCCATGGGGAAAGCAAACATCTCTGGAACCTTAACTTCTTTGGCTGTTGGTTTAAGTTACTGTTACCTTCTTGTTTAACAAGTTCCTTATTTACTTTTGGGCCTAGCTGGCTGCCTGGAATTTCCCTTAAAGGAACTTCAAGATTTTCCTTTATTTTTCCATTTGGGGTTCACAGGCCCCTAAAAAAGGGAATTGCTGCTCCATCTCCAAGTCGGGGTCAGATGTAGCTAGTCATCGGGCTTGACTGGAGTGAGGGGACAGGGATATGTCCAAGAGAACACTGCCTGTCAAGGAAGCTGTGTAAGGAAAGCCCCCACAGTGGGAGAGAGGCTGCCATGCTCCCTGCACTGGGAACACAGGGATGGCTGAAGCTGAGACAAGAACAGGGAAAGAAGCCGGGCGTGGTGGCTCACGCCTGTAATCCCAGCACTTTGGGAGACCAAGGCAAGTGGATCACCTGATATCAGAAGTTCTAGACCAGCCTGGCCAACATGGTGAAACCCCGTCTCTACTAAAATTACGAAAATTAGCTGGGTGTGGTGGCGCACGCCTGTAGTCCCGGCTGCTTGGGAGGCCGAGGCAGGAGAATTGCTTGAACCCGGGAGGCGAAAGTGGCAGTGAGCCAAGATCGCGCCACAGCGCTCCAGAGCGTCAGAGTGAGACTCCTCAAAAAATAAAAACAAAAACAAAACAGGGAAAGAGGTGTGACCAAGACTGAGAGAGAGGCAGAACCAGGCGAGGCCTCACTTCAGACTCTGTTCTCAGGCCAGTGGGAATACACTGAAGAGTTGTGGGCTGGAGGGTGATGCGATTTGCATGTAGTGTAAGCATGTAGATAACAAGAACTTCAGGATTCAGAAGGAAGACATTTAAGAGGCAAAAGAGAAGGTGTTCGGAGGTAGTTTAGGAATCAGATGATTGTGGCCTAAGCCTGGGTAATGGTCCTGGAGTAGGAAGGACCTAGAAAGAAGAGACCTGGGACTTTAGAGCTGAGAAAATGTGACGCTGCTCGCTTTCCTCCATGCGTTGGTCAGAGGGCTCAGAGCGCTCTCTGTGCCCCAGCTCCTGTCTGGCAAACCTGCAGGCAGCCTCCTTAGCCCAGGGCCATGTGCCCGCCCTCACTCTGCCACTCACAGGGCCTCGCCTCTGCATCCTCAAGGAAGTCAGGCCTGTGCTGTCCAGCATGGTAGCCACTAGCCACATGGAGCTATTTCAGTTAAACCAATGAGAATGAAACACAATTGAAAATTCATTTTCGGGCTGGGCGTGGTGGCTCACGCCTGTAATCCCAGCACTTTGGGAGGCCGACGCAGGTGGATCACCTAAGGTCAGGAGGTTGAGACCACCATGGCCAATATGGTGAAACCCCGTCTCTACTAAAACTACAAAAATTAGCGGAGGAGAGAGCTTCGAGCGCAGACAGCTCCTCAAAAGCAGACGGGTGGACCCCAGGCCAGAACTGCCCAGCAGGCCCTGCAGAGAAGGCAGGCAGCTCCTTGTCTGCGATGGGAGGAGGCGGGAGAGCGGGGTGCAGGTTGCAGTGCTGGCAGCAACACAGGAAAGTAGATTCCTCCTCGTGATCATTACCCTGAGAAGCGGGATTGGGACTATCTGCTGAAAATGAGATGATTTGTTCATCTCTTGCTGCCTAACAAATGATCTCAAACCTTAGTCACTTGAAAAAATGACCATGTATCATCTCTCACTGTTTTTGTGTTTCTGGAATTCAGGAGCAGCTTGGCTGGAAGGCTCTGGCTGGAAACTTGCAGAAGGCTGTCAGCTGGGGTCGCATTATCCGAAGGCTCAACCGTTACTGGGGGCCACTCCATGGCCTGCGAGTCAGAGCCGGCTGTCGGTGGGAGGCCTCAGTTCCTCTCCACATAGGCCTCTGCACAGGGCCACTTGAGCATCTTCCCAGCATGGCAACTGGTGTCCCCTAGAGCAGCATCCAGGAGACCAAGGCGGAAGCAGCTTCAGTGCCTTCTAGGACCTGGCCCTGGAAGTCAACCCTATACCCATCCCCGCTGTCTCCTCAGCCATATTCTGCTGGTCACACAGGTCAGCCCTAATTCCGTGTGTGTGTCAGGCCTACACAGGGTGTGAGCACCGGGAGGCTGGGATCGCCAGGGGCTCGTTAGGAAGCAGTTACCACAGAGGGGACGGGGGAGAAGGTGTGAGGTTTAAAGAGAGGAGAGGAGATTTGACGAGTGGGAAGCCACGCTGACTTGTGGGATCGCCCTGCAGGCTGAGGGTTCTTTTCATGTTGGTGACCGTGTTACTCCAGAGTGGCAGCGTCACAGCCCTTGCACAGGGTGGCCTGCCCGAATGTGCCCTGGAGCCAGTGGATGTTTGAAGTCACGCCTGGCTGGAGTTCTGCTGGGCTGGCATGGCGGTGTAGGGTGGGAAGGAGGAAATCAGCTGAAATGAGGGACAGTGACATCCAAGCTGGGTGAGGATGAAATCAAGAGATGGGGTGGCTGAGGCAGGAGGGGGGGTGACCAAGGCAGAGCATGGGTAGGAGAGGGGCTGAGTTGACCAAGGGCAGGAGAGGGGGTAACTGAGGCAAAGCATGGGCAGGAGGGGGGTGATCGAGGCAGGAGAGGGGCTGACCGAGGCAGGAGGCGGGTGACTGAGGTAGGAGGAGGTGACTGAGGCCTGTGTGTTGTCAGAGGACATGCAGTGACAGAAAATATTAGTGAACACGGTGGAAGTTGAGGAGGGAGGTGGGTTCAGAGAGAGGGGAGTTTTTGAACGTTGTTCTGGGTGATGGGACAGTGCCCGGTGCTGATCAAGGCTGAGGGGGCTTGTGGAAACGTGTGGCTGATGAGGAGAGAAGGGTCAAAGGGCCCTGGAGCTGAGGAACTCCTGAGACTCTGGGGATCTCTGACATCCTCCAGGAGCTGGGACTGGAGGTGGGAGGAGTGATGGAGGCACCGGAGTCCCCAGGGAAGGAGGAACTAGCCGGGAATGCATTTGTGGATGGGAAGAACGTGCCGTGAGACTGTGTGAAGCCGAGGTTCTCAAAGTGGGTGGGGCAGGGAGGTACCGGTCATTGTGTTGGGGACAGAGGAAGGCAAGTTTTCCATCAGGTGGCCCTGAATGATTGCCTGCTCAGCAAAATAAAGGCCCAGTGTGGAAGCCAGAACTTGCATTTGAAGGATGGGAAGGATGGGCTGAGGAGGGCCCAGCAGCAGCGGCCCGAGAGGGAGGCGGCCATGGAGACTTGGAGCGTTCCCGTTTCTTCCAGAGCTCCGTCCTGAGAGCGCTGCGGAATAAGGGAGGAGCGTCCTGCTTCCCAGCTGCCCTGTTGCTGTCGGAGTCACAGGATGGCGGCCGTCGTCCTGCCCCCGACTGCTGGTGAGTCGTGGGGTCCTGGCATTTCTTAGAGTCCAGGCTTGAAAGGCTCTAACCCACAGCATGGGACGGGAGGGGGTTGGGCAGAGCAGGTGAGGCAGGAGTGGACCCCCAGGGCCCAGAGGTCCTTGGTGTCTGATCACGCGGCTCTTGGGATTTGGGACTTAGGCGTTTGGGTGTCTATGGATGTCGCTTCTGTGGTGAATGTGCTGGAACTTTTGAATTCTCTCTTTAGTTCTTTCTGTGAACCTGATAAAAACACAGTGACACCCTTGGAACTTCAGTTTCCTCATCTGTGAAGTGGGAATAATCCCTTCCCCAAGTGCAGTCAGACCTTGAGCCCTTTTTTTGGTTGGTGAGACAGAGCTGTGTTCGGGTATCTTAGGAGAGCTGTGGGTAGGTGTTTGCGTGGAGTGTAGGTCGGCGCTGTGTGGGTGCCTCATCCACGTGGGTGTGGGAGGTGAATATGGTTGATCATGGGCAGATCTGTGGGCATTAGACAAGCCTGAATCCCTGGGACTCGTTTGTCCTCCTCCAGCTCCATCTTCCCTGTTCCCAGCCTCTCAGCAAAAAGGACACACAGAGGGCGGAGAGCTGGTTGATGAGCTCCTGACAAGCTGGCTACGGGTGAGTCGGATGCTCCTTTTCCCAAGTCATTACCCCTTTGACTAGAAGGTTAGACTTGATACCTTCCAGCAGCCTGGAGCCTCATGGCCAAACCAGGTCCTCAGGCATCCCAGGATTTCCAGGCATCTCATGGAGGGTGAGGGCTGCCCAGAAGATGTCAGTGTGTGTCAACGTTTACTGCAGGTTCAGAGCTCCCTCCGGGGTCCCTAAGTACATCACATGCTCCTGCGAGTTTTAAGGGAAAGCCAAGTAAAGACTTGACCATGTTCTAAGCCCAAGCGATTAATGAAGGCCGTACGGAAATCATTCATTCACTTACCAAGTATTTCTCCGATTTCTGCCATGTCACGGGCCCGTGCTTCTCTGGAGACTGAGGGAAATGAGGTCACAGGAGCTCCCAGTCTGAGTAAGAAAAGACGGCTGCTCTGTGGTACTGGGCACTGGACCTGGGAGTGGCCTAAGGAGACAAGCATTGAGGGCTAAGCTCAGAAGCCAGGGAGGGGAGCTTGGAACCCCACCCCACATCTCGTGTTCAAGTTTCCCTAGCCATGGCTCTGTTCTCCTGGCCCCTCTTCCTGTGCACGTTGGTGGGGGTGGTCCTTGGCTAAGCTGTGATGTTTGCAATGCTTTAGGGCTTGGTGACCTTCGAGGATGTGGCCGTGGAGTTCACCCAGGAGGAGTGGGCATTGCTGGACCCTGCCCAAAGGACACTGTACAGGGACGTGATGCTGGAGAACTGCAGGAACCTGGCCTCGCTGGGTAAGCCTGACATCATTTCTGCATGTATTTAATGACTCCGGTGGCAAGACTTGCCGGCTTTTCTTATTTTTTTTCTTGTGGTAAAATCCATACAACATAAAATTCACCATTTTAACCATTCGAAGATGTCCAGTCCAGTGGTTTTTAATATATTCATAGTATTGTGCAACCATCAACACTATCTAATATCACAACATTTTCATCACCCTCAAAGAAACCTCGTCCCTGTGAAGCAGCCAATCCCTACCTACTGCTGCTGGTAACCACTCATGTGGTTTCTGTCTTCAGGAATTTGCCTATCCAGATTATATCATATAAATGAAATTATAAAATACATTACCTTTTGTGTCTGACTTCTTTCATGTATCACAGTGTTTTAAAAGCTTAGCTATGGGCCAGGCGCGGTGGCTCACACCTGTAATCCCAGCACTTTGGGAGGCCGAGGCGGGTGGATCATGAGGTCAGGAGTTCAAGACCAGTCTGACCAACATGGTGAAACCCCATCTCTACTAAAAATACAAAAATTAGCCGGACATGGTGGTGCACTCCTGTAATCCCAGCTAGTCAGGAGGCTGAAGCAGGAGAATTGCTTGAACCAGGAGGCAGAGGTTGCAGTGAGCCAAGATCGCATCATTGCACTGCAGCCTGGACAACAGAGCACGACTGTGTCTCAAAAAAAAAAAAAAAAAAAGCTTAGCTATGTTGTATGTTGTCCCAGCGCTTCATTCCTTATGACTGAATAATATTACATTGTATGGACATACCACATTTTGCCCAATCCATTTTTCTATTAATAAACATTTCAGTTGTTTCCACTTTTTGACTATCAGGAATAATGCTATAATACTATGAATTTTTGTGTACAAGCTTTTGTTTAAATGCCCACTTTGCATTTTCTTGGGTATATACTAGGAGTGGAAGGCTAGGTCTGTGTTTAGCTTCTTGAGGAACTGCCAGACTTTTCCACAGCAGCTGCACCATTGCACATTCCCACCAATGCATGAGGGTTCCAGCTTCTCCACATCTTTCCAGCACTTGCCTTTTTGATTATAGTCATACCAGTAGGTGTGAAGTGCTATCTTGTTGTGTTTTGATTTGCATTTTTGTAATGACAAATGACATGAGCATCTTTTCATGTACTTGCTGAGTATTTTTCTTTGGAAAAGTGTCTATTCAAGTCCTTTGCCCATTTTTGTTACTGTTGTTTGTTTGTTTGTTTGTTTGCTTGTTTTGACACAGAGTCTCCCTCTGTCTCCCAGGCTGGAGTGCAATGGTGCAGCGTGATCTCAGCTCACTACAACCTCTGCCTTCCAGGTTCAAGTGATTCTTGTTCCTCAGCCTCCCAAGTAGCTGGAATTACAGGCATGCGCCACCATGCCTGGCTGCATTTTTTTGTATTTTTTATAGACAGGGTTTTGCTGTGTTGATCAGGCTGGTCTCAAACTCCTGGCCTCAAGTGATCTGCCTGCCTTGGCCTCCCGAAGTGCTGGGATTACAGGTGTGAACTACCGCTCCCAACCCTCTGCCCATGTTTTATTTGGGTTGTTTATTTTTGTTGTCGGATTTTAAAAGTTCATTTTATATTCCGGGTACCAAATCCTTATTCAAAATACGATACATAAATGATTTCTCTATTATCTGGGTATCTTTTCATTTTCTTGATAGTGTCCTTTGATGCACAAAAGTTTTAATTGTGACCAGGCGCGGTGGCTCATGCCTGTAATCCCAGCACTTTGGGAGGCCGAGACGGATGGATCACCTGAGGTCAGGAGTTCAAGACCAGCCTGGCCAACTTGGTGAAGCCCCATCTCTACTAAAAATGCAAAAACTAGCCAGGCATAGTGGCAGGTGCCTGTAATCCCAGCTACGCGGGAGGCTGAGGCAGGAGAATCGCTTGAACCTGGGAGGCAGAGGTTGTAGTGAGCTGAGATCCAGTGTGCTCCAGCCTGGGCAACAGAGCGAGACTCTGTCTCAAACAACAAAAAAAGTTTTAGTTGTGATGAAGTCCGTAGTATCTAGTTTTTCTTTTTTGCTTGTGCTCTTGGTGTGATACCTAAGAAACCATAGCTCAACTCAAGGTCATGAAGATTTATCCCTGTTTTCTTCTAAGAATTTTCTAGTGTTAACTCTTCCACTTAGCTGTTTGATAGATTTTGAGTGAATTTTGCATATGATGTGGAGAAAGGGCCAGCTTCATTCTTTGCATAAGTATATCCAGTTGTCTCACCACCTTTATAGAAGATCTTGTTCTTTCCCCATCAAATGACCTTGGCATCCTTATTGAAAATTCTGTGGCCATACACACTGGAGTTTATTTACGCACTCTCAGTTCTGTTCCATTGGTCTATATATCTCGAACTCCTGACCGTGATCCGCCTGCCTGGGCCTCCCAAAGTGCTGAGATTACAGGCGTGAGCCACCGCTCCTGGCTTCATTGGTCTGTATATCCATCCTTGGGTCAGTACCACACTGCTTTGATGATTGTTACATTGTAGTGAGTTTTGATAACAGGAAGTGTAAATCTTTCTATTTTGTTCTTATTCAACACTTGTCTGTTCAAGATCCCTTGCAACGCCATGAATTTTCAGATCAGTTTGTGCATTTCTGAAAGGAAAAAAAACTATCAGAATTTTGATAATGATTGTTTTACCTCTGTAGATAATTTTGGGTAGTGTTGTCACCTTAACCATATTAAGGCTTCCAATATATAACCTTATTATTTTTTTTGAGACGGAGTCTCACTCTGTCGCCAGGCTGGAGTGCAGTGGCACAATCTCAGCTCACTGCAACCTCCACCACCCAGGCTCAAGTGATTCTCCTGCCTCAGCCTCCCAAGTAGCTGGGACTACAGGTGCGCACCACCACACCCAGCTAATTTTTGTATTTTTAGTAGAGACGGAGTTCCACCATGTTAGCCAGGATGGTCTCAATCTCTTGACATTGTGATCCACCCACCTCTACCTCTCAAAGTGCTAGGATTACAGGCGTGAGCCATCATGCCCAGCCCTGTTACTCATTTTTAATTTCGTTCCATTGTGGTTAAGGAAGATACTTTGTAGGAATTCATTGTTTTTAAATTTAGTGAGACTTTTTTTTATAGCCTAACATATCATCTATCCTGGAGAATGTTCCATGTGCATTTGAGATGAATATACGTTCTCTTGTTGGGTGATGTGTTCTTTATGTATCTGTTAGGTCTAGTTAGTTTATTGTTTAAGCCCTCTGTTTCCTTTTTATCTTCTAATATGTTGTTCTACCCATTATTGAAAATGGAGTATTGAAGTCTCAAACGATTATTATAGAACTTTCTATATCTTCCTTCCATTATGCCAGTTTTTACTTCATACATTTTGGAGTTCTTATTAGGCACATATGTGTTTATAATTGTTACATTTTCTCCATAAATTGATGCTTTATACGTCTATAATGTCTTTCTCTATGTTTTATAACAATTTTTATTGAATGAAATCTTTTTTTATTCTTTCACTATCAACCGTATTTGTATCTTTGAATGTAAAGTAAGTCTCTTATAGACAGTATGTACAGATGCTCCACAACTTTGATGAGGTTATGTCCCAATAAAGCCATTGTAAGTTAAAAATACTGTAAGTCAAAAATGCAAAACAATGAAAAAAGAAAAAAAGAAAAGTTAAAAATGCATTTAATTCACCTAACCCACTGAACATCATCAGTTAGCCTAGCCTACATATGCTCAGAACGCTTACGTTAGCCTACAGTTGGGCAAAATCATCTAACATAACAGGGTATTTTAAACACAGTATTGAATAGCTCAACAATTATAAATTATGTATTGAATATGGTACTGAAAGTGAAACATAGAATGGTTGCAGGGTACGTGAAGTGTGGTTTCTCCTGAATGCGTATGACCTTTGCACCATCATAAAGTTAAAAAATCATACCATTGTAAGCTGGGAGCCATCTGTAATTGGGTTATTTTTTAAATCCATTCTGCCAAAATCCACCTTGCAATGATGTAATTACTGATAAGGAAGGAGCTACTTCTGCCTGTTTACTATTTGCTATAGATAGCTATTTACTTTTTACTATGTGTCATATCATTTTTGTTCCTCAGTTCTTTCATTGTTGTTTTGTGTTAGATATTTTCCAGCGGGCCATTTTGATTCCCTTCTCATTTCCTTGTATCCTTTTTAGTTATTTTCTTAGTGGTTGCCCTGAGAATTTTAATAAGCACTTTAATTTACACCAATCTAGTTTAATAGCAACTTAGTTTCAATAGTATATAAAAAGTTTGTTTCACTGTAGCTGTTTTGTTTAGTAATTTTGTCACAAATTACATCTGTATGCATTATGTGCCCATTAATGTAGATGTATAATCATTTATGCTTTTGTCTTTAAATTATGTAGTAATAAAAGAGAAGTTACAAACCAAAAACACATTGTCCGTGACTTTGATATTCACCTCTGTATTTACCTTTACCAGTGTTCTTCACTTCTCTCTTTTCATTTTGTCCTGAAGTCACCCTCAATCATTTTTTGTAGGGTAGATGTGACAAACACTCAGTCTTTGTTTCTGGGAAGGTCTTCATTTCTTTGTTTCTGAAGGGGAGTTTTGCCAGACATAGAATTCTTGGTTGCCATTTTTTCTCAGCACTTTGAATATACCACTCCAATGTTTGGTGGTTTCCATGGTTTCTATTGAGAAATTGGCTGTTAATCTTACTGAGGATCCTGTGTAACGTGATAGGTCACCTCCCTCTTGCTGTTTTTAGAATGCTGCCTTTGTCTTTCAACAGTTTGATTAATATGTGTTTGATGCCAGGTGCAATGGCTCACGCCTGTAATCCCAACACTTTGTGAGGCTGAGGCAGGAAGACCCCTTGAGGCCAGGAATATGAGACCAGCCTGGGCAACTTAAAGAGACCCTTTCTCTACAAAATATTTAAAAATTAGCCAGATGTGCTGGTGCACAGCTGTGGTCCCAGCTTCTTGGAAGGCTGAGGTGGAAGGATTGCTTGACTCCAGGAGATCAAGGCTTCTGTGAGCCATGATCACACCACTGTACTCTAGCCTGGGTGATGGAATAAGACCCTGGCTCAAAAAATGTGCGAGAGTGTGTGTGTGTGTGTTTCAGTATGAATCTCTATTTTTTCAAATTTATTCTACTTGAGTTTCTTGAGCTTCTTGGATTTGTACATTTGTGCCTTTCATCACATTTTAGGAAGTTTCTAGCCATTATTTCTTCAACCTTCTCACCCCTTTCTCTCTCTTCACATCTCTGTCTTCACATCATATATATGTTTGATGGTATCCCACAGGTCTCAGGCTCTGTTCATCTTTTTTTAAATTCTCTCTCTCTCTTTCTCTCTATCTCTCTGTATCTTTGAGACAGGTTCTCACTCACTCTGTCAGGCTGGAGTGCAGCAGAGTGATTGTGGCTTACTGCAGCCTTGACCTCCTGGGCTCAAGTGATCCTCCCATCTCAGCCTCCCAAACAGGGAGGCATGACTATAGACGTGTATCACCATGCCCAAAAAAAAAGAAAAAGAAAAAAGTCATTATTTATTTCACCGTTCCTAAAGTCACACTTTTCCATCTTCAGAAATGTTGGCATTCGTTTCATGGAGTTGGTTGTCCTCAGCACCGTTCCCTATATCATGTGTACGTTTTCCATAAATAGGGTGTCGTGTTAATAAACCCAGTCTGATATCCCAGTTGGAACAAGACAAGAAGGTGATGACAGAGGAAAGAGGAATTCTACCAAGCAGCTGTCCAGGTGAGCACTAGGCGGATATGAGCCCTTGTGAGGAATAGCTCTGGCCAGTGACTTGGGGGTTGGGAGTATTACATTAATGTCAATCAGGGAACTTTGTAAAATGCCCTGTTCCTGCCAAAGATGCACAAGAGCATTTGGTATGAGCTTCCTCATGTCCTTTCTTTTGTCTCTGACTCTCTCATCATCGTCTCATACTTCGCTTTGGGCTCAGGGAAGAAACAAAGATGCAACTCTTTTGAAAATTTCCATCAAGTTCCTTCCCACTTTGCATTCCTGATCACTCCTCCTGTCATCAATCTGTGATCAATCTCAATTTGTCTAGAATCCTTTTTTAAAATTAATACCTAAAATTTTCATAACCAAATCCTCTTCGTTGCAAACATCCTCAAAAACCTTGATCCCTCAGAATCTGCCTTTACTCATGTGTGTACTTTTCCATTTATTTTCTCCATCAACCTAAATTTCTTTTCATTTTGTTTCAGATTTGGAGACTCTACTTAAAGCCAAATGGTTAACTCCTAAGAAGCATGTTTTCCGAAAAGAACAGTCTAAAGGTGTAAAAACGGTAAGACTAACATGGGTGATTTCTGGTTCTCTACAGTAGGAGAATGCCCTAAGTTTAGAAAGGGCACAAAATAACCAGGAGAGGGATTAAAGGAAAGTGTCATTTATAATTGAGAATGCCATGTCCCTGGAGAGACACTGTGAAAATTGTAAATATTTATAGAGAAGTGTTGAGTTAGCTTCAAACATTTCTTCACTGAGAGTTCCCACAAGTAAATATTTCCTGTCTGTGGCTCAGATATTGACTGTTGGGAACAAAACTTCATCCAGAAGTTATCAGAAAATGTTTTGTGAATCTGATAAGGACTTGTGGCAAAGCATCTATGTTTTTTAACTTGCTTAGCGCTAAAACTGGACAGAAACCATATACAACCACTGAAAGTAGCCAAAATATCGATTATAATAATGTAACAGAATTCCTGGGAGAGAAAATTCCTGGGAGAACGTTAAGTATTTCAAATATTATAAATTATAGTTATCATTCGTCTCTTAATCCACAGGAAAGAAGTCATCGTGGAGTGAAACTCAATGAATGTAATCAGTGTTTTAAAGTCTTCAGCACAAAATCTAACCTAACTCAGCACAAGAGAATTCATACTGGAGAAAAACCCTATGACTGTAATCAGTGTGGGAAGTCCTTCAGTAGCAGATCTTACCTTACTATTCATAAGAGAATCCACAATGGGGAGAAACCCTATGAATGCAATCACTGCGGGAAAGCATTTAGTGATCCCTCATCCCTTAGACTGCATGTGAGAATTCACACCGGAGAAAAACCCTACGAATGTAACCAGTGTTTTCACGTCTTCCGCACCAGTTGTAACCTCAAAAGCCACAAGAGGATTCACACAGGGGAGAATCACCATGAATGTAATCAGTGTGGAAAAGCTTTCAGCACAAGGTCCTCCCTCACTGGGCACAATAGCATTCATACAGGGGAGAAACCTTATGAATGTCACGATTGTGGGAAAACCTTCAGGAAGAGTTCCTATCTGACACAGCACGTAAGAACTCATACTGGAGAAAAACCCTATGAATGTAATGAGTGTGGGAAATCCTTCAGCAGTAGCTTTTCTCTTACTGTGCACAAGAGAATACATACCGGAGAGAAACCCTACGAGTGCAGTGACTGTGGAAAAGCCTTTAATAATCTCTCAGCTGTGAAGAAACACTTAAGAACTCACACTGGAGAAAAACCCTATGAATGTAACCATTGTGGGAAATCCTTCACAAGTAACTCCTACCTTTCTGTACACAAGAGAATACATAATAGGTGGATATGAATTAACTGTGGGAACTTCTGGGGGAAGCACTCATTGATCTTTCATCCCTAAGATAGTTTGAGAGAGCTCACACTGGATGTATAAGTTATTTGTTGCAATGTAACAAATGATCCCCCAAAACTTTGTGGCCACAAACACCAAACATTTATTATCTCACAATTTCTACAGGTCAGGAATTCAGGAACAGCTAATCTGTGTAGTTACACGGCAGGATCTCTCATGCCCTTACTTACAGTCAAGATGTCAGCCAAAGCTGCGGCCATCTAACATCTTTGCTGATGAACAGTCCACTTCCAAGATGACTCATTCACATGCCTGGAAAGTTGGTGTTGGTTGTTGTCAGGGGACGTTCAGTCATTACCATGCAGGCCTCTCCACGTAGGCCTCTTTACAAGGCCGAGTTCCTTTATGATTTGGCAATAAGTTCTCCCGAAGGTTAGTGATCCAAGAGGCGACCAGTACAGAGGCCAAAATGACTTTTATGACCTATCTTCAGGAGGACTGCTAAGCTTTCACTTATTTCCTATTGTGCTGGTCTCACAACACACCAATCCTGATACAATGTGAGAGACTACAGAAGGAAACAGATCACTCAGAAACATCTGGGAAACTTGCCATGGAATTAATGAAGTAAAGCCCTCAGCACATCATCCTTTTAATCTAATCAATATGAAATAGCATTCAATAACTCCTATTAATTCACTCTGAAGAGAAACCTTTTGAGGACAATCTGCGTGGTAAAGCTCTCAGCTCAAACTCTCACCCTCATGGGCCCAGAAGGTTATGTACTGAGAGAATCTTGAAGAATGGAACAGCTGTAGGAAAGCCTTCAGTGCTATCAGCAGGGATTCATGTGACAGCTCACGCTAAGAGAGAAAACCTGCGAAGGTCATCAGAATGCAGAAGCCTTCAGGGACAGTCATCCCTTAAGACACACATTGGAAATCGCGCAATGGAACAACACTCAGAAGTGCAGAATATCCTACAGCAAAAGTGTTCACATTTCTGAGCAAACTGTAGTGTGGTATTCTGCAGTGACTATGGGAAAGCCTTGAATGTTCTCTCAGTTTTTAAGGGACTTGCGGATTAATTCTGGAGTGAATGCCCCATTGAACAGCATCAATATTGGAGAGCTTTCCGGTTTTCCACATTTGTTAGGAAACTTGTGAGCACTCACACTGCAGAGAAACTTGCAAATATAAAGAAAAAGAAAAAGCCTTCAGTGATGCCTCTGTGTTATGGAAAATGTGGAACTTCTCCCTGGATACAAAACCTATGAGTATATTAATATTGGCATATTTTTCAGTGATTCTTCTCTTTCTTGTCTATGAGAGAACTTACATGGAGAAACCCCTAGGAATGCAATCAGTATTAGGATGCCTCAGCCTCAACTCTTCACTGAGTGGCCACAGTTGTCACTGGGAACAGAAAGTATAATAACTGTTTTGAGTGTGGGATTTCCTACATCAGTGTCTCATCTGTAGATTGGACTGCTAGCTCATTAACTTTTTAGTCTTTTTTCTTTTAACATAAACGTGTATAGCTGTTCCCTAAAATAAACATTAACTTATATTTCATAATTTTAATGCAATGTATTTATTATAATTTGCTTGTTAAATACATATTACATACTCAAAAAGTTACTTCCAAATACCTTCTGAGTGATTCGGTTTATCATATTGGAAATTAGTATTTGTAATACACGTTTTTCTAATTTAATGGTATTTTTGTCAGAGTACATGAGCTTTATGATACTGATTATTTTCTATCTTGATAGGCCAAATATGTTGGCTTCTTTCCTAGTGTCCATTCTCCTCCATTTATTTGCTTAAAGAAAGAAACATGTTCAAGTTGTCTGTGAATGGTATCGAATGTTCTCAATCTTAGAGTTTTTCTTGAAGCCCAGGCAAGTTTTTTCCCACTCCCCTGGCAATGAGAAGTAAGTAGAAGTCACTGTGGGGAACATCTCCTGGCTCGTTCTCGCTTATTTTCCATTCATCTCACCCATTCTGTCTCTTGGAAGGTGGCCTCAAGGTCTAGAGTTTGAAGAACTTCTTTTTGACCATGATGACAAAAATGAAAAGTGCAGCCAAAAATGACAATGCTCTGGACTCTCCAAGAGCCTCCGATTGGCTGCATCTGCTCTGAACTCCTTATTCTTACACTTCTTACGTGACTAAAAGAAACCCCTAATGATCATGAGTCAGGAGATCAAGACCATCCTGGCCAACATGGTGAAACCCCGTCTCTACTAAAAATACAAAAAAATTAGCACGGCATGGCAGCATGCACCTGTAGTCCCAGCTACTTGGGAAACTGAGGCAGGAGAATTGCTTGAACCTAGGAGGCAGAGGTTGCAGTGAGCCGAGATCGCACTACTGTACTACAGCCTGACGACAGAGCAAGATTCCGTCTCAAAAAAAAAAAAAAAAAGACACAACTGATTGAAGCCAACATGATCTGTTGTTTGTTTTTGAGGTGGTGTTCTGTTAACTTCCAGCAGGATGCAGAATCTAACTGGTAAACATATAAATTGGTCAAATTTTACCCATGTTGTTTCTTTGAAAACAATGTATATTCTCTAATATTTGGATATAGGGTATATGCACATTAATGCAACTTAATTGTATTTCCAAGTACAGTACATATGTTCAGATTTCTTTTTCTAACCGTATTTAGTGATAGAGGTGTGGTAAACTCTTCCATTATGTTTATGTATTAACATTTTAATTTTGTGATTTTTATATATTTTGATGTTATGTAACTAGATGCATAAGGATGATGTATTTTCTTCTGTATTGTTCCTTTTTATGTGGAGATGATATTTTTACATGGCAAAGTATTGTAATGCATTAATAATAAATGGTCAAACATTTATTTATTTATTTATTGAGATGGAGTTTTGGTCTTGTCACCAAGGGTGGAGTGCAATGGTACGATCTTGGCTCACTGCAACCTCCGCCTCCCAGGTTCAAGTGATTCTCCTGCCTCAGCTCCTGAGTAGCTGGGATTACAGGTGCCCACCACCACGCCCGGCTAATTTTTTTGTATTTTTTGTAGAGACAGGGTTTCACCATGTTGGACAGGTTGGTCTTGAACTCCTGATATAGTACTTTCCATAGATCAGGGCCCCTTCTAAATGCCATATAAATATTAACTGAGTATGCATTATAAACATAAGTATGTAATGTTATTATCTCCAGTTTACAGATGAGAAAACTGGTATGATACACTTAAGTTACTTGTCTGCATTCACTGACTGGTAAATGGTAGAGCCAAGATCTGAACCCAGACAGTCCAACCACTACTCTGTTTGCAGAGTATGTTCTATGTGCCAGGCAAAGTTTTGCCATTGAAATACTTCATCCTTATGGAGGAGGAACAGAATATAGAAAAAATCAAGAAAGTATGGTATTATAGAGTTATGAAAAAAAGCATTTTAAGAGAGTTAAGGGGGGTTGGGAATAATTTTATATAGACGAGGAAAAGAAAGCCTCTTGGTAAGGAGTATTTGAGCAGAGAGCTCAACAAGCTGGGACAGTGAGTCATAAGAATTTGTCTTGCACGAGTAGTGTTGGCATGCAAAGGCCCACAGCAAGGAGGCCAATACAGCTGGAGTGGAACAAAGCGGGTGATCAGGGAGCAGTAGAAGATGATGTGGTCAGAGACATGGTGGATCCTGATCTTGTTGGGTTTTCTGAGACATTGTTAGGACTTTTCCTTATTTCAGTGAGTTGGCACATCAGTCAGAGTCCCAGCAGGAACTCAGGTTGGCACCCACAGACTAGGACAATTCACGTAGAGGTTTCATAAAGGGTCTCCTCACAGTGCTGGGGACAGGATCCAGGGAAACCACAAAATGTTGTAAAGCACCCAGTAGCTGAGCAGGGCAGAGCTCTTTTAACACCCCAGAGCTTGAAGGGATGAAGGGAGGGAGCAACTGAATCTGGAGATGAGAGGAGAGGGCTGCATTCCAGGAGCTAAGGGTAGGTCAGTCAGGGATAGCATCCAGCCCCAGGTCCTCCTGCAGGAAACAGCCAGGGTCAGACCTCACTCTCCTTTATGCTTCTGATCTCATGCCCAGCCTCCCCATTAGCCAAACCAAAGCAAAAGCCATAAGGCAAGGAAGCCTATCAATGTCATTCATAGAGGAGGTAGATTTATTGAGACAATGGAAGATACTCAGTATTGGTCACCCCTTTGCTTCTCAGAATCTACTTTTGCCCATCACTTGGCAGGAAGGTTCATATCTTTGCCCAGGAATTCCATCAGCTGCTGTGCTACCCTGGGGTGCTATCAATGCATTGATACTCCCACCTGAAGTCTAAAATAGTTGGCAACACCAGTGTTCTCCGTATAGGATGGGGGATGGGGCTGTTGGGGGGAAAGCAGAAGAAATAATTCATCTAAAAGGTCTGGTTCCCAGAGGAGACACTTCCACCAAGAAACACAGTGAGAGTCCCATCAGACATTAAACTGTGACTGCTGGCCGGGCGTGGTGGCTCATGCCTGTAATCCCAGCACTTTGGGAGGCCGAGGTGGGCAGATCACAAGGTCAGGAGATCAAAACCATCCTGGCCAACATGGTGAAATGCCATCTCTACTAAAAATACAAAAATTACCTGGGCGTGGCAGCATGTGCCTGTAATTCCAGCTACTTGGGAGGCTGAGGCAGGAGAATTGCTTGAACCCGGCAGGCAGAGGTTGCAGTGAGCCAAGGTCATGCCACTGCATTCCAGCCTGGGTGATAGAATGAGACCTTGTCTCAAAAAAAAGAAAAAGTTATCTGCTACCATGTAGATGAACCTTAAACACATTATACTAAATGAAAGAAGGCTGACACAGTAGGTAGCATGTGGTATAAATTCATTTATATAAAATATCTAGAACAGTTAAATCCACAGAAAGAGAAAGCAGATTGATGATGGCCGGTTGTGGTGGTTCATGCCTGTAATCAGCATTTTGGGAAACCGAGGTGGGTGGATCACCTGAGGTCAAGGGTTCGAGACCAGCCTGGCCAACATGTTGAAACCTTATCTCTCCTAAAAATTAAAAAAATACAAAAATTAGCCGGGCATGGTGGTGCGTGCCTGTACTCCCAGCTACTCGGGAATCTCAAGAGAATCACTTTAACGGGGAGGCGGAGGTTGCAGTGAGCTGAGATTGTGCCATTGCACCCCAGCCTGGATGACAGAGCCAGACTTTGCCTCAAAAAAAAAAAAAAAAGAAAAGAAAGAAGGAGGGAGGGAGGGAGGAAGGGAAGGGAAGGAGACTGATGGCTGCATGATCTTAGAGGTGGGTGCAGAGGGGATTTGGGGTTGATTACTTAATGGGTAGGAGTCTGATTTGCGGATGGCAAAAATCACTTGGAACTAGAGACAGGTGACAGCTGAGGCATCGCTTGATTTTGAATGTATATACCAGATGCCGCTGATTTGTTCACTTTAAAATAATTTTTTATTATGTCAATTCCACCTTGATACAAAAAATTATTCTCAATTTGATATCAGAAAAGGAAAACTTAGAGCAAAAGCAATAACACAAAGCAGTAAATTGATGGAGGAACATTTGTTTTTAGAACCATTTCTGTCCTGAAAACCTAGTGTGTAATAAGGATAGAATTTCAAAACAGCTCAACAATGATGATTTAATAAGAGGCTTGTGGACAATAGATTACATGTCTGTAAAAGAATTTTGCTCCACTAACTTTTGAATTTAGGAAAACTCCTAAATATATTAGAAATATTAATATATCATCAAGCTAATATTTAGACAATATAAAACTAACAAAACTCTAAGGAAGCAAGAAGAAAACAGAAGCTAAATCATGTGCAACTTAGATATTTCATCAAAATATGCACATTTGCAGTGTCTATCAGGTGATAAGTAAAATATAGAAATTAATTTAAAATACAGAAGGAGCTCAAACAACTCAATAGGACACAATCTATTTTTTTCTTTTTTTTTTCTGAGACAGAGTCTGTTGTCCAGTCTGAAGTGCAGCAGAACAATCTCGGCTCACCCCAAATTCCACCTCCCAGATTCAAGCAATTCTCCTGCCTCAGCCTCCCGAGTAGGTGGCACTACAGGCGCCTGCCACCATGCCCAGCTAATTTGTATATTTTTAGTAGAGACTGGGTTTCACCATATTGGCCAGGCTGGTCTTGAATGCTTGACCTCAGGTAATCCTCCCAACCCAGCCCCTCAAAGTGCTGGCATTACAGGCGTGAGACACCGTGCTTGGCCCATTAGGACAAAATCTAATAATTTGATTTTTTTAATGAAGACATGAAAATCTATATAAATATATAAAAAAAAATATATATATATATATATATATTTTTTTTTTTTTTTTTTTGAGATGGAGTCTCACTCTGTCACCCAGACTGGAGTGCAATGGCACGATCTCAACTAACTGCAATCTCTGCCTCCCGCCTCCCAGGTTCAAGCGATTCTCCTGCCTCAGCCTCCCAAGTAGATGGGATTACAGGCGCCCACCACCATGCCTGGCTAATTTTTGTACTTTCAGTAGACACAGGGTTTCACCATGTAGGCCAGGCTGGTCTCAAACTCCTGACCTCAGGTG